GGTGCTGCGCTCGGCGGGAGGGAGCGGCCAGGAGGGAGGCAGAGTCTGGAGATGCTGACGCCTGCTCCGGGCTAGGAGGGCTGCCCGCGGTCAGCGCCAGCGCGGACAGGCCCAGGCAGGTGTGGGCAGGAAAGACCCTGCGGGACGAGGCCAGGGAAGGGGACCGCAGGGCGCGGACAGAGCAGTGTGTCCCGGGAGCTGGCCCGGCGGTGCTGGGAGACTGCTGTCGCCTGAGTGTGGGGTGCGAGGCCTCGGGGGGGGGGCTCTGGGGCTGCCTGGGGGTCTCGTGCTGGAGGACGAGCAGTGCCCCAGCGTGCTGGCGCTGCGGCCGCGCCTGGGAGGGCCTCTGTGTGCGGTGGGGGGGGGGTGCCGGGCGCCAGCCCCACGGAGGGAAACAGAGAGACAAACCAGACGGGCTGAGAGGACAGTGGGGTCTCTGAGCCTGGCACCCCCACCCCCATCGCCGGGCGCTGTGCACCCCTCAGCCAGCCCCACTCTTGCTCTGAGCGCTGGGGGCATTTACTCCGTCGCGCCTCCCACCCGGAGGGACAGCGTGCGCTCGGTGACGGCAGGAGGCCCGAGGGCTGCAAGGGAGGCAAACAGGGTGGCAGGAGGGAGGGTCCTCCGGACCCAAGGGAAGGCGGCTGTGGGCAGTGTCCAGGGAAGGGGAGCTGGCCCCAGGTGGGCAGGAGCCCCGCGCAGAAGCCTCTAGGCAGCAGGGGGGGTCTGAGAGCAGGAGGAGGGCTGGGGGGAGAGAGCAGGGGTGCAGGAGAGAGCAGGGGTGGGGGAGACAGCAGGGGTGGGGGAGCAGGGGTGCGGGGCGACAAGGGAGGTGGGGAGACAGCAAGGGTGGGGGAGACAGCGGGGTGGGGGAGACAGGAGGGGTGCGGGGAGACAAGGGGTGGGGGAGACAGCAGGGATGTGGGCCACGCGGGGCTGCAGGCGTCTGGGCACGAGGCCAGGCTGAGCCGTGTGCCCCAGAGTGGGGAGCGGCGGGGCAGAGTGGGGGCCGCATCTGTGCCAGGGGGTCCTGAGGACACAGCCCAGTTGCCAGGGAGGTCAGCAGGTGGGAACCCCAGTAACAAGGTCAGGGTCTCAGCGTTTAGTCTCAGTTAGCCACAATGCGGCGCCGCTCGTTCTACGCAGGTGACAAGGGCGTCTCCCCCTCCTCCGGGACGCCCCTCCGGGGCGGAGCTGCCACTGGCCGCGGGCCGGGGGGTGGGGGGGGCAGGTGTGCGCCCCGGCCTCGCTGGACGCCCCTTCTGTAGGGCTGGGGCGGGGCTAGGCCTCGCCCGGTGCGCTCTGATTGGTGGCAGGTGGCTCTCGGGCGTGGGCTTGGCTGCGCGGTGGCCTGCGGGGCTGCTGCCCACGGCGCGGGGAGGACCTGCCTTGGGACGGGCGTCAGACCAGGGTCGCCGCGGCGCTGCGGGAGGGAGGCAGGGACCGGCCAGGGCCCGGCTTGGCCCACCTGACTGGTGTCCCCGGACGGCACAGCCGCGCGCTGCTCACCTGCCTGCCCGAGCGCGTGCGGTTCGGGGCCGCGGGGCTGCAGCACCCGCCGGAGGCGCCTCTCCCGCCCCAGCGTCCCTCACGGCCACAGCAGTCGGGTCCCAACTTGCAAACGCGGGGCTCAGAGACCCAGCGCGGGCCCGAGAAGCTGAGGTCCTGCTGGGGTTCGAGCGAGGCTGCTCGGAGCTGGCCTTGGCGCCCTCCCCGCCTCCCCGCTGGCACAGCCGCCGCCCAGTGGCTAGTGTTGTGGGGGCGGGGCACCCCCGCCCGGACCACGCCGGGAGGACTGGCAGCCTCATGCCCCCCTGCGTCTTCCTGCCCGCGGTGGACAGGGAGAGGCTGTGTCCAGCAGTCCCCGCTCTGTCCCCGCAGGGCGGCACCAGGGCCGCAGGCCACCTCCCGACGCCCCCAGGGCCTTCCCCCGGGCCTCTGGCCCAGACCCCGCAGCGGGTGAGCACGGACTAGCCCTCCCCGTCACTCAGCAGGACTTCGCGAGCCGCCTGCGTGTGGACGTTGTCCCTGATCTCCGCAGCCGGCCTGTGGGCGGGTGGGTGTCACCACCCCCTTGCTACAGCCCAGGCAGCTGCCGCTGGGACGGGGGCTGGGGCGCTGCCCGGGCTTCTGCCGCCTAGCCCGGCCCCCGTGTGGTCCAGTGGTGGAGGCGGAGCCAGGCCCCGGGGAGCAGGGGTGACTCCCGGGCCGGCCTCGGAGTGGAGGGGTGGGGCTGCTGGCGTGTGGGTGGAGGCGAGGGCTCTTTACCGGGCGCCGCTGAGCCCTCCCACCGCCGGAGCCTGGGGCCACCTCCGGAGCTTCCCGGGGAAGCGGGACCTGCCCGCACCGGCGCCGTCTCTGCAGATTAGGGACCAACAATCGCCGCAGCCGGGGACAGGTCCTGGGCCTCCCCGGGAATGGCTGGCGCCCCAGGCCTCACCGATGCCCCGAGACGGCCTCGCAGAGGACTGGGGGGGTCATGCTCAGTCCCGGAGCCCCGCTGCGTGCCGGCCTCTCCTGGGCCGGGCTGTCCCGCAGTTACTTCACTTGAAATTGCTCGTCCCCAGGAAGTAGCATCAACGCTGGCTCTTTAAACAAAACGTGCTCGGAGCAGGCGCCAACGTCGTCGTTGGCTCTGCCTGACCTAAAGTGAGGTCGGCCCCCCGCCCCCCTGCTGTCTGGCGGCTCCCCGCGGGGCCGGGTCTGGGTGCGGAGCTGGTGGAGCAGGTGAGGCTGGGAGGCGCGCGCCCAGGGAGGGGGCCTCGGCGGGAAGAGCCTGGTGAGAAACGCAGGCCCCCACCCGCAGCCTCCACCCAGAGGCCCCCCCGAGCGTCCACCCAGAGGCCCGCGTCCCCTGTGAGCTGAGCTGAGGGGGGGGGGCTGAGCGCTTCCCCCTCCCGCCCCCCGAACCAGGAGGGGGTTTAATATGGGGGCGGAGAAAGGAAGGCTGACCTTGCTTTGCAGGGTGGGCTCCCCGCTGGCCTGCCTCCCGGCCCCTCCTCGCTCCCGAAGCCCCCCTCGGAGTCACGTCCCGGGTGCCCGGGGAGCTGGGCCAGGCTCCTGGATCCGCGCCGGGTGTCAGGTGGGCCGCGGAGCCCCGGCTGCCGCCGCCTCCGACAGCTCAGGGCCCAGCGCCAGGGCGGCCCCGGCCCCAGCAGCCCCGCTTTGCCTTTACTTCAGACTCTCCGACCACACTCGCCGCCCCCTCGCGGGGCCTCGGGGCCTCCTCCAAGGGGTGCAGGTGCCGGCGTCCTGGGGGCCGGGTCAGCAGGGAGCCCCGAGCTGGCCGCATCAGGTGGACACAGCTTTCTGAGCCCGGGTGTCGTGTGTGAGACCAGGATCGTGCTTGTTCGTTCAGGAAACTCGTCCTCGGCAAAGGGTCGGCCCGGGCCCAGCGCCGCGTTGGCGTCCCGGCCGCAGGAGGTCGCCCTGTGAGCCCGGGAGGCGGCCGCCCGGCCAGGCGGCATCCGGGCTGGGGAGCCGGGGGGTGGGGGGCAGCGTCAGAGCTGGTCTCTGTCCCAGGTGCCGTCTAAGTGGAGGCCGGCCGCCCTGCCCCCCCGCGCCCGCCCCGGCCCCCCAGCTGGCAGGTCACGACCCAGAGGCCCAGCCCGGCGGGGGGCAGGTTGGGGACACACAGCCGCTGCCCCTGCTCCGGCAGCTGGACCCCCACGCCCCTCCGGGGCGCGCCCACCTGGCCAGGGGAGCCTGTGAGCTTCCCCGTCCCCGAGCAGGGCTTTCCGGGTCCGAGGGGCCGAGGAGGGAGGGAGGCTACAGGGACGCGCCGCGGGAACCGCTAACTCAGCGCGGGACGCGGGCGAGTGGATCTCAGACGGACTCTCGAGACTGCAGGAGCCCTGGAGGGCAGCACGGATGGCAGAGGGGCTCCGCGCAGGCTGGGGGTGTTCCGGGCCCCGCGTGTCCACAGTGGCCTGGTCCTGCCTGGGGGGCTGTCAGCGCTGAAGGTCGCCTTCCAGGGCCCGGGACCCTGCCCACGTGCCTCGCTGCCCAACAGCAAACCCGAGTCCTGCTCCCCGGGCACCCGCAGGAGTGGGCTGCGAGCCGAGGGGAGCACAGAGCTCCCACGGGGGTCCTCGCCCAGCGCCTGTGCCAAGACCGAGCCCCTCAGGGCCGCTGTCTGCAAACCCTGCAGCCCCACGCTGCGGGCGGCCCCGGGTCCTCCCAGATGGACGGGGCGGCCCGGAGCGTCCAGTGCCCAGGGTCACCCCAGAGTGGCTCCAAGCGCAGACTCAGGCCATTACCAACCCCCCAGCATTCACCCTCCAGGGCCCGCCCGTCTGTGCATCGCCTGCGAAGGCAGAAGCGCAAACACTGTGGGGCGCCCCGGTGCTACCGGACCCCCTCATCTTCCAGAGGCCGACTGGGTGTCGGGAGGGAGGTGGCCGCGTCCCACGTCCTGTGCTCTGCTGTGGGGCCAGGCTCCGGGCTCCCCGCCCCTCCCGCCGCGCCCTGCCCCCCACCCCAGCTGGGGACAGCAGCGGCCGCCCCGCGGTCTCGCGCGCCCCCTGGTGGGGAGCGGGCAGGGCTCCTCCGCGCAGCGCCCGTCGCGCCCACAGCTGTTCTGGGGGTGCCCCGCAGGGCGTCCCCGCAGGGATGCCTCCCGGTGGATGTCGGTCAGGTGACCAGGTCTGGGGAAACGCGAGAACCGTCCTGCGCCGCCGCCGGGATCCAGGCCTCAGAGCCGCGATGCTCCGCATGTCTTTATTTCCGAGACCCGTTCCCGCCGCCCCGCACGCGCTGCAACCCCGCAAGGACCCCGCAGGCCGGGGCAGACCCCGGCCGCCCGCCGCCACGTCACACACACACTGATTCCTCAGAGGACGCTGAGCGCTGTGGACTTTCTCACAGACGAGCTCCGTGCCCGCCCCACCCGGCGAGACCGCACGCGCTCTCCCCGCCGCGGCTCTTCCCGGAGGACCCGGAGGACGCGCAGGGCGATGCCCTCCCCAGGCGGGCGCCGAGCCGGACCCGCGGCTCCGCCCTCACAGGTAGAAGAGCGAGTTGGCCAGCTCCAGGCTGGGCTCCCGGTGGATGCTCTGCGCCACCAGGAAGGTCAGCTTGTGCGCGTACTGGCAGGGGGCCGGCCGGCCGATCACGCCCTGGGGGGAGTGGGCGGACGGGTCGTGGGCGGGGCTCAGCCGCGCCGCCCCCAGGCCTCGCGCCGCCCCGCAGCCGCGGCTGCCGCTCCTTAGCGTGTGTCACGGACGCGGTTGAGCGACCCTGAGGCGGGCTGGGCGCCCACCACCCCCGGGCGGCGGAGCGGGCGCGCGGGCTCACCGGCCAGTTGTAGTACAGGTGGCACAGCTTGAACGTCAGCCTCTGCATGTGGTCGGGCCTCAGGCCGTTGTCGTCGTAGATGACGTTGTAGTGGGTGGGGTTCACCGTGCCCCGGCAGGCCGCCTGGCTGACCAGGTAGAAGTCGTACCTGGGGAGGGACGGCGGGCCGTGAGCCGGGGTGGGGGGCGGCCGGGCGGGGGTGCGGGGCAGGGGCGTCCGGGCACTTGCCAGTCTGGCCGCGTGGCCTCCGTGTCCACGATGGTGCCCAGCGGGGGGTTCTGGACGCTGCGGCCCAGCTCGGCGAAGAAGCGCGGCGCGCTCCTCCTCCTGACCACCACCACCGACAGCCTGGGGCTGGGCCGGGAGGGCGGAGTCAGGCGGCCCGGGGAGGAAGGGGCGAGGGCAAGGGTGCCGCGCTGCCCAGCGCTCCGGGGGGCGACCCCAGAATTTTTGGTGGAGACGAGACTTTTCCTTTTTGGCCACTGGCAACCCCCCGCCCATTTCCTCTCACCCAGAACATCCGGGGAGAGCCCAGGCCCCTCCGTGCCCGGGCCCACCCGCCCTGCAGAGCCAGCCCGGGCGCAGACACCGATGTGCGGAGCCTCTGGGCGTGACCGATGGCAGGGCCTGCCCCGCAGGGCCACGCCTGGTCATTTGCCACTGTGGGTGGACCCCCGGGGGGCGAGGACTGCCACCGTTTCAGCCGAGGATGACTGATGCTGCCGCTCCGCTGCCTGTGAAGCCTGTTGTGGGGCAGGCGTGGCGGGGCTGGCGCTGCCCCGGCCCCCGTCCTGGAGCCCCGCGCAGGGGAGCGCCATGACCTGCTCCCTGGGGCAGGGCGGGGGGTGGCGCTGGCCGCGGGGTTGGGGGGTGAAGGGGCTACCACCCTCCTCCTGGGGTCACGGAGGCCGGCGAGCCCCAGCCTGTCGCTCACCACGGCGACAGTGACACGGTGGACGGTGGGGTGGCCGTCAGCCCTGCAGACGGGGCTGCCCACGGCCTGGGGAAGGTGCTGCCCCGTATCTTAAGCAGCCAGCTGAGAAGGGCCGCCTCCCCCGGCCAGCTCCGACACTGTTCCCGCACTCGCCCTGGGCATGGCCGCTGGGCAAGGGCCGCTGGGGCGACGGGGCGGGGCTGGCACCTGCGGGCAGAGGAGGCCCCGCCCGGCCCCGCCCCTGGGCCTCACGGTCACGCCACAGCCCGGTCCTCCACGCACGCGGGGGCCAGAAGCAGCCGCATCGCCAGCTGTCCTGGCTGAGACCCGCCTGCGTGGGTGCCTGCTCCCCGGGCCGTCCACTCCCCCCGTCCCCGCTGACCCCTGGGCCGTCCGGCCTGTGCAGCGATGCTCAGGGACAGCCGTCATAACGCCGCGGCGGGAGCGGGGACCCGGCACCTGGGGCTCGTGGCCGACGCGGTCACACTGCTCAACAGCTGCGGCACCTCGTACTCCAGCACCGTCCTCAGCTGGCCGTCCCCCACGCCGTCCCGGTACAGCACGATGCGAGCAGGTGGGCTGTGGTTGCGCTGGTACCAGCTGTTGAGCGCGCCTGCCGGGGGGGGTGCTGGTCAGCAAGGAAGGCTGTCCTGCCTGAGGCCGCAGTCCCGGGAAGGACCGGGCAGCCCGGGAGGACCAGGCAGCGGGCAGGACCAAGCAGCCCCAGAAGAACAGGGCAGCGAGACATGCCCAGCCTAGAAAGGGGTGGACTTCAGGGGTGTTTCTGCCTCACGGACTCTGGCGGCCCCGGCCTGACAGACTCGCCCCCGGCGCCTCTCTGCTGACATGTCCGTCCAGGCGGCTGAAGCTCAGCCCTGCCGGGGCGTGCAGCGTCCCCGAGGCGAGTGACCCCTGAGCAGTGTCTACAGCGGCTGCCCCTTCCTCCTCTACTGAGGCCCCGGGAAGGCCCAGGCACCCCAAAGCTGCCTGGCACCGTCAGAGGCCCGTCTCCCCTGCGGGAGGCAGCTGGCTGGCCTGAGGCGTGCGGACTTGGGGTGAAGGCGCCGTCCCAGACCCCCCATCTCCCCGGGGGCTCGGTACCGCTCATGAGCGCTCTCAGGCAGTCTGCCACGTCGGCCGCTGAGGTCTGGAGGGCGCAGCGGGAGAACCACCTGCAGGGGCCAGGTGGGGGAGAGCTCAGCAGGCGCCGGGGCAGGACCGACGGTCTGAGCAAAGATCACGGATGTCACAGGCCCCACCACGCGTGCCCCGCCCCTGCGAAACTCACTGACAAGACACTAGCGCATGCTGCTGGCCACGGACGTGGCGGGCTCGACCCCACCAGCCACACTGCCAGGGCCGGCACGAGGGAGCTGGACGGCAGCGGACCCTCACACCGACGCGGCGCCACAGCCGCTGAGAAGGGCCCTGGGCGCCCCTGGGCCTGAGCGCTCCCACGAGCCCGGCGCAGACCGGGCGCAGGTGCCCTGCTGAAGTCGCCGGCCAACCGCGGGCATCGGGCAGAGGCAGAGGGAGGTCGCGTCCAATGGTGATGCAGTTCTCAGCAGACTGGCAGCTGCTGCCCACGCGTGCGCCGTCAGCCGAGGCGGCGGGAGCCATCAGTGACGCGACCGCAGCGCGGCAAACGCCTCCGCTGGGGCTGGCGGCGTCTCAGGCCTCGCTCGCCTCACCAGCCCGTCAGTGCCCACGGCGGAGGCGGCGTCATCCCCACCCTGCTCAGCAGTGACCGTCCCGCCACGCCAGGCAGGGCCACCGCAGGCTAAGCGAGGGGCAGGCAGGGGCGAGCCAGGCCTGGCCCGAGCCCAGCGGTCTGGGGGGTGGCCTGCGGCGCCTCCGGGCAGGGGCTCGGAGCACAAGTGCCGGGTGCGCACGTGGGTCGCCCGGGAGCTGCGGGAAGAGCCTCCCGGGGCCACCAGCTCCGGCTCGCCGCTCCCACTCCTACGCTACGTTAACTGGTGGCCGGGATGGTCATCGTGGGAGAGTTTTAAAGAATACATTTCCCGGGCCTCCCCGGGGGCGCAGCGGTTGAGCGCTGGGCTGAGAAGCTGCCCGCAGCCTCTGCAGCGCCGGTTCGATCCCCGGCTGCTCCCCGGCCACCGGAGGAGGGACCCGCATGGCGCGCAGACCCCTCCTGCCGCCTGCTGCTCCCCTCAGCAGTGTCCTTCGGTCCTTCTGCCTGCTCTGCTCCCCGCTCTGGCTCTGGGGAATCCTCTCACCCTCCCGCACTTCTGACTGTACCCAGTGCTTGCATAAGAAAAAAAAAAAAAAAAAAAAGGACTACGTTCCGCAAAGAATCTTACTAGATAAGGTCAAAAGAAAGAAACAGAAACGGAGAATAGAGCGTTGCCTGCGGCGGGCGCCGGTGAGGCCGTGCAGGGCTGGAGGCCGGGTGGTGCTGCAGTACCTGGTCACTTGTGGGTTGCTGCTGGCCACGAGTCCAACCACCACCGTCCCCGTGCCGCGCGCGTCCCTGCAGACGTCGACGCCCACCACCATCAGGGAGCGCAGCTGCGGAGCGAGGTCCTTGGTTTAGGGGGGCCGGCATCCTCTCCCTGGCAACGCTTGGCCGTGAAGTGTTGAAAGAGCCGCCCCCGTCACCCAGTTACAAGTGGAGCTCGGGGAGCCGGGCGTGGGGGGGAGATGGGGCAGACAGCCCGGAAACCAGAGACCCAGAGGGCGGAAGGACACAGACTTGCCCACTCCACCCCTCCGTTGGGGCGCCAGGGCTGGGGCTGGCCCTGCTCCCTCCCTCCCTCCCTCGCCTCTAGGCTGAGGAACTTGTGAGATGAAGTCCACTGGGCCTGGAGACAGCCACGTGAGCACACCCACCCGGGGACCACGAGGACCCAGTCAGGCGTCCAGGCGTCCAGGTGGGGGGTAGAGACACTGGCAAGGTCCCTGGCTCCTCCCTCCCTCCCGTGGCCACCATGTCAGGTGCACACAGCCTGGAGGCTGGGCTCCTCAGGTGCGAGGCTCTCTCCGAGTCTGTGCCCCCAAAAGCGTTAACGGGACAGGCCGAGGGCGCAGCTTTCCACAGCAGCTAGGAGGCTCCATGTCCACCCGCCAGAATACATCCACCCGCCGGGGGTCAGGCCCACGAGGGGCCCACACGGTGACTGCGCCACGGGGCCCTGGCAGGCAGACCCACAAGTAACCCCACGAAGGGCATGGGGTGCGTGAGGCGCTCCCGTGGCCTCGCTGTGCGGCGCGCCGGGGTGACCGCGAACGGAGGGTGCTCACGGGGATCTCCACGGCCCACAGCTCGCCGCCCAGCTTGCAGGTCACCTGCATGGCGACCCTGGTGGCCACGCCTGCCATCACGCCCGGCCTGCCCAGGGTCCGCGCCAGCACACACTGGCTGGGCACGGGGACGTCCGAGCTCAGGTACTTCTTGATGGACTCGTAGTAGCTGCCCCGGCTTGACGGCAGGACACACATCACCTGGGGAGGGGCGAGGTCAGTTCTCTGGGCACAGAAGCAGCTTCTGAAACATGGACGCATGCGCCCCAGGCGTCCCCCGCTCCGGGAGCCCCAGGCCCACACTGCGGCCTGGCCGACCTCGCCCCCGAGGCCATCGTGCTTGAGGGGAGCTGGCTGCAGCTGCCCTCCCTCCGCGCCCCCCAGCACCCCCAGTTCCGCTGCACCTTGTGTTGGGTTCTGGGGCCTCCCCACCCCCTGCTCTCTCCAGGCCAGCCCTCCCCGCCGCGGCTCCACCCACCGCCCTCCACAGGGGCACCCACCCAGAAGCCAGATTCAAGCCCCCCTGGTGCCGGGCGAGCAAGTTAAGGGGACTCGCTCTTTTACTTACTTGACTGGAGAGTAGAGGCACTGGGGGGGGGTTGGCCCCGGGCCTGCTGGGTCCCAGCCCCACCACCACCTCTGTCACCCCCTCCCCCTGCCGGGGTGTCCTCGAGCAAGGGCCTCACCTCCTGAGCCTCCCTCCCTCCCTCTCCCCCCAGACCCTGCGCTGGGGAAGGGAGGGGGCGCCCAGGGCAGCAGGGGCGTCCCGCCCACAGGCTGGACCACGCTGTCTGCCCGGGCTCACGCGCTGGGAAGGGACGGCCTCGCACACGGCTGGGTGGGACGAGAAAAGCTGAAAGATCCGCCGAAGCCCCAGAATCCTCCCTCCCACGCTCACCAGCTGGACCTCAGGGGTGACGTGTCTCTGTATCGCGCGCAGGAACGCGGCCGGGTGCTCCTGCACTTTCACGCTGCGTGAGAAGATTAATTTTACAGACACAAATCCCCCTGGGAGCACGGAGTCACGGCACAGCAAACTCACGAAAAAGGAACTTTCCAGCAGGCTTGTCATCGGGAACAAAATCACTGGACTTTTCCCTTCAGTCTAAACTCGCTTCCAGTCCCAGCCCCCAGGAGGGGAGCTCAGCGCTGGCGTGTGGGAGCCAGAGGCCCAGCAGAGACTGGCCCTTGAAGCTGGCCTGGGAGCGAAGACCCTCGGGAGGTTTGGGGAGGGGGGCTGCGCCCAAGGGGGGGCAGCCAGGCCCTGGAGGCAGCACCACCCCATCCCCCCGGGCCAGCGGTGAACACTCAGGTGGGAGAAGCCAAACCGTGAGTCTGGGGAGGGTGAGTGGACACTCGGGGAGACGGTGGGGTCAGGCGTGGACAGGCGGGCACCCCGCCTGCCCCTGGGCCGTGAGGCAGAGCCTGGTCTTCCCCCCACCCCACCCCGCCTCCCCTCAGCACCCTCCGCTCAGTGAGCTGCGGCTGGGGGACCGCGCGGCCCCTCCCTGGGCTGCGGAGACCCCCAGGCGCTGCTCGGAGGGCAGCCCAGAAGCCGCTGCGCCGGCTCAGGAGCTCAGCGCAAGCTCTGCTCTCGCCGTGCGCCCAGCGGAGGAGCTGGCCCCGGGACCGGGATGCTCTCGAGCCGCGCCAGCCGTTTGCCCGTCTCTAAGCAAGTGGGGCACTTGGGGTGTGCGGGGCGCGTGGGGTGCGGGACTCACACTCTGGGGGGGTCCACGCGGACCCCCATGTCCTCGCCAGCTCTTCTCAGGCAGTGCAGGAAGCCCTGGGCCGCTGCTTCCGCTCGGTCACTGCACACGAACAGCCACTGGCTCAGCGGCCGGGCGCTCAGGGGCCGGCAGGCGCGGATGTCCTTGGACCAGTCGGCCGCGGCCGCGGGGAGGCGCTGGGGGGGAGGCGCGGGTGAGCCGCCGGCTCAGGGGAGCAGCTGGGCGGTCGCTCTGGGGCAGGTGAACAAGGAAAGACGCCGAGCGGAGAGGCCCCGGCCCTGCAGACCGAGACGCGCCTCCTGGGCAGGGATGGGCGTGGGGCGCCCTGGCTGCACGCACCCCAACCGCCCCCGCCCCACCCCGGCTGCTCTGCCTCCTGGACGAGGTCTGGGCAGGCTGCGTCTGGCTGTGCCAAGGGAGCCATTTTTAAATGTGGCTTTTTTTGTTTCCCTAATAAAAATTTTGCAACTTGGAATGTCAAAAAGAAATGAGGAAATACCCCCCCAGCCGTTCTGCCAACAGAAACGTGAGCTCGTGAGCTGCTCAGCCACGGGAGCGAGGCTGTTCCATCAGGCAGAGGCGAGGAAAGCGTCTGAGGTGAAGCACCTCAGCGGGCCCGGGCCGTGGGCAGAGCGGATCTAGGGGACCTGCCGGTGCCCCGGGCAGGGGACGGGGCAGGACGAGGGTCTGCGCTTGCGGGAAGACGAGCCCCGGCAGGTGCCAGCTCGGTGGGGCAGGAGCGTGACGCTGAGGGCAGCCGGAGGAGGGAGACAAACACTGATGGTCTCGCTGAGCCAAGGGTCAGACAAAACTAAATGCAGCAAAGCCAGAAATCTGGCTGTAGAGACCCCAGAGGGAGAAGGAATTTAGGGGGAGCCCAACAGCATACCACGGAGGATTACTGGGGTTTCGTGGCAGGCACCACAGGAGCTGTGAGCCACACCCCTGCATCACACGTGGTGATCGCAACACAAGATAATCAGAAGCAATCACGGCGGGCCAAGCGAGCCGGAAGTCAAGGCCCAGCTCCTGCAGAAAGCAGGCTGAGGACGCCCCCTCCCGAGGCCCCGGTGACGGGTCCGGGCCCGGGCCGAGGTCCTCGCATCTACGCCCCGTGACCAGCGCTTCGGGGACCAGCCGCTCTGGTGCAGGAACACGGGCCGTGGTGCTGGGCCTCCGCGCTCCCTGGACTGCCTCAGCGAGGGACAGCGGGATGCCGGGCGGGGGGCCGCGGCTGGCCGGGGCTGAGCTGCCCACTGGTACTGCGGCCTCACCCCCACACCGGGGCCCCGCTGACCTGGCCTCTCCCACCGGGCGCCACCGAGCCCCGAGGGTGCTCACGACTGACCAGGGAGACGCATGCGGGCCCCGGGCAGGGCCGGAGGGGCAGTGCTCACCACCTGGTCTCCCACGAGGATCTTCTCTGCGGGCGCCACCCGGCCGGTCAGCGACACCTGGCTCCCCAGACGCAGCCCCCAGGTCTCCAGCTCGAACCGCGCCTCTTTGTTTCTGGGGAAGGCGAGAGCGGAGAGTCAGCCCAGCCCGGCAGGCACCGGGTGGGACCTCAGCTGGCCGAGCTACCCGGGGCTGTCTTTCCTCCGCACAGCTGACTTCATGCCACCCGCCGTCTTTCCTTGGGCCGGCGACGCCGTTTGGGAGGTGGGGGGATGGGCGAGGGCCCCTGGACGTCCCTGGGAGGCCGGCAGAATAGGCTTCCAGCCCACAGACCGGGACGTCCTCCCACGGCCGGTCCTTGGTGTCGTGTGACCCGAGTCCTTGCTCGGCCTCAGGGTGGGGCTGGTGAAGGACCATGACAGCGCACACACGGCGCCGCCACGGGGCCAACGCACTGCACTCAGCAAGCAGAGTCGCCCGTCCTGACGATGGATGCATCACTAGAGGAGTATCGCAGAGGCTGGGAGGTGACATCTCGAACACTGGGCTTGTCGCGTGGGAGTGGATGGTGGGTGAAGAAGGGAGTGGGGACTTGCTCTAGAGGGCAGGGCACGGGCAGCAGGCGGGGTCCATACCAGCGTGGCACTGCCCTGGCTGCAGACTAGCTGCGTTCCGCCCGGGGCAGCCTCACACTGTGGCGACCTCACTGCTGCACTGGGTGGCCGTGTCGGGTCTGGTCACATGGGAAACTGTTTATTTTGCTCTCTGCTCTCTGCTCAGCAGCAGGCGGGGTGATCACAGGAGCTGGGCGCTGGCCATGGGGCCCTGACAGGCCGGGCGTGACGTGGGCAGGCGGGGGCAGGGCACGGACACAGTCGGGGAAAAGCAGCCACAAACCCAGGCGGGGCCAAGGCCGTCCCCATGCTGTTGTGGTCACAGGCCAGGTGTGAAGACACGGCAGGGTCGGGGGAGAGACACGCCTGTGTCCAGCACTGACACGGCAACACACTGAGCTGCGCGGCACCGGGCACACGGGCACACATGTGGGCACCCGCACGCACACGCACGCCACACACTTCCTTTTTGTTTCTGTAAACCTCCAAATCCCTCCAGTTGGTATTACTCAAAAAACACTTAAAAAATTGTTTTAAAGAACAATCGAGAGTGTTCCAGAAGGACACGTCCAGCAGAAACACAAAGCGAGCCACGGGGGCCATTTAAGATGTTCTGGGGCGTTTAACACGGTGAAGTTATTTTACTCTTCCAAAGGAACTTATTTTTTAAGTCATTTAAACGTGTCCAGAACAGGCGATCGGGCTGTGGCCCAGCCGGTCCCAGCACCCGGCGTCCGGGCGGCGCCGTGCTGGGCGGGAGTCCTGGGGGGTGGGGACCCAGGGGGCGCTGCCCCCTCAGGCTGCAGCTGTCGGCCGAGGAGCAGCAGGACGCGTGTGGTGCCCCCAGGGGCGTCTGCACCTGGGCGCCAGGGCCTGCTGGCCGAGGTCCACGGTTCTTCGCTCCGCTGTCCACCCTCTTCCTCAGAATCTCGCACGGAACCCACGAGCAACGGGGCGGGCGAGCCCAGGGCCGGGCCTACCTCTGGAGGTTGTCCGCAAGCCGGGCCAGGCGCTGCTGCCGCTCCAGAGGACTCAGGCGCATCTGCTCGGCCACGGCCTTCATCATGTGGAAGTCGGCGGTGGCCTGGCCGCCCAGCCCTGCCGCGTTGGGAAGACGTGGGTGAGCGGCTGGTGGTAGCGGCGCAGCGGGGCCCGGAGTGCGACCTCAGAGGCCACGCGCGCTTGCCTAGTACCGCCTTCTAACCAGCATGCGTGGGGTCGCTTACACGCTCTGTGCCATCCGGAGGGTGGACGTCACCACGGAGAGCGCGTGGAGGACACCGTCTGCTTCCCCAGGCCCCGGACACACACACGCCCGCCTCCCCTGGGTTGCAGCGTCACCCTCGGGTGCTCACCGAGCGCAGGTGCCGGGCCTGAGAAGCCAGCACCCCAGGGAGTCTCCTCCCTTCGGGGATCACATCCCCATGGGATCTCTCTGGTCGCAGAATCGCTACCGACCAGGGTGGCACCAGAGGGCAGCAGAGCCCCGCACCCCCACCCCAGCCCCCTGGCGAGCACGTGGCGGCCGGGCACCCTCTCAGGCTTCAGTGCAGGAACCGTGACCTGAGGCTCTCGCAGCAGGAAACAGGGTGTGCCTGAGCGAACCCGCGCCAGCCGCCCCGCAGCCTGATGCCGGCAGGTGCCGGGAGCAGCCTGGCCGCAGGGAGGCGCTCGGAGCCCAGCCCGCTGCAGCCCAAAGTAACCGATGGGCAGACGGGGCAGGAGACATGAGACTCCCAGCGCGGCGCTCCCAGGGCTGCTGTGCTCCTGCTGCCTCCACCCCCCACCCCACCCGGGCTCAGGGAGGCTCTGCCCCCCCCAGCAGAGCGTCACCTGTCAGGAAGCAGAGCTCAGGCAGCAGGTGGGCCAGGCGGGGCTCCAAGTCCTCGGGCCTCTTGCTTTTCAGCCGACTGACGAGCACGGGCTGATCCAGGTCAGACACCCTGATGTCGTATTGCTGGGGGCGCGGGGGGCAGGGTCAGCCGGCACGGCGGCAGGTGGCACCCTCGCCTGCGAGCAGCCAGGTGCCCCAGCGAGGTGGCACCTTCTCCCCGGCGCGAGAGGCGGGGGTGTCCTCGGCTGACGGCGCGGTGCTGAGCGCGGCTGCCCAGAGAGGCGGCCCAGGCCGAGAGTCAGCGGGCGGGGCCGGGCGCCCCAGCCGGCCGGAAGGGGAGTCTGAGCCGGGCTCGCGGGCAGGGACAGTGGGTCACCGACATCGAACACGGCCTTGTTCTCACCGGGCTCACTCGAGCCGAGGCTGTGCCCCCCACCTCCCGTCGGCACGGAGGACGCCCGCCAGCACTGGGGCCTCCTCCCTCGCGCTCATAAGGACGCGCCAGACCTGAGGCTCCGGCGGCTCCCGCTCCCCGTCCGTCCCGCTCCGTGGCCACAGTGGGGGGAGGCTCTCCCAGGAGCAGCGCCTGCACAGCCACCGGCCCGTGCCCCTCGGCGGCCTGCTCAGGGGCGGGGGGGGGGCACTTCACGCTGCACCCCAGAGCGTGAGGACAGGAGAAGCGGGAAGGCTCCAGGTCTGTGCGCACGGAGAGCGACTGCCCCGGGTCCCTAGTCTATCCGGGACCTCCCGCCTGCCCGGAAGGCTGGGGTGAGCTGAGCGGTGGGGGAGCAGGGGAGCACGTCCAGGCTCCCTCGGGCCTGGCTGATGCTGATGAGCAGGGAGAGGGTGGCGACCCGCGGGGGGCCCAGGGTTAGGCCCACGCGGGGCCCCCCCGGGACACAGAAAGGGCCGGCGAGCTCAAGGCGGGCAGTGGCTGACCCGAAAGGGCCTTTGACACCCTCCAGGCGCCTCGCGTTCCCGGGAGATGGAGCCACAGAGTTGCTCGCAGCGGGAGGTGGCTCACGGCTGCCTCGAGGAGGTGGTCAGCCGGGGGGCGGGACGGAGCGGCCGGGCAGCCTGGGCTGGGGACGGGGCGGGCGGGGGTGGGGCGAGGGTGCGGCAGGCCCACCTGGCGGTAGTACTCCACGTAGGACAGCTCGGCGCCGTCCCGCCTCCGGAAGGTGTGCGTGGGCCTCACGGACCAGTCGATGTCGTCCACGCGGTAGGTCCTGTTGTTGTACCTGGAAGGCAGGGGCCGCTCGGCGTCTCCCGCGGCTCGGCAGGGCAGCCGCTACTTGTCCGCACGCCCGCAGCGCTGGGCCCCACGTGGAGGTCGCGAGACCCTGACGCGGGGACAGTCGCTCTCCACACGCGATGGGCTCTCCCCTGCCGAGGGCGCCCAGGATGCTGTGCTGAGCCGGGCCCCCTGCCGCTGACCCAGCACCCCCTCGGGGAGAGGCCGAAACGCGCTCAGCCGTCCCCGGCTTCTGGTGTCCTGACCGGAGCTCCTGAGAGTGGCTCTGCCCACACCCTGGGAGAGGCGGCCCAGGGACTGCCCGCTTCTCTCCGGGTCACTGCCCGCGGGCGGAGGGGGAGCGCCCGGCTCTGCCCTGCACCCCGGCCTGCTCTGAGCAGGGCCCGCGGCTTCTGCAGGCCCAGAGTCTGCAGGGTGCGCCCATGCGCCTGGTGCAGGAGCGGGAGGATTAGGCAGGGCATCAGGCGGCCCTCTCCTCCGGGGGCGCAGGGTCCGGCCACCCCCTCTGCTGCGTCACCCAGAAAGCCATGCGGGGAGCCCAAGCCCCCCAAGGAGCACGGGTGGGGACCCCGCCTCGTTGGCTGTGTGCGCCAGGGCAGGTCACAGGCAAGCCTCGGGGCTTGGGGCTCTCAGCTCGAGACACCCCCAGGGAAGAGCAGGTGCAGGCCTGCCTGTCCCGAGGCGCCGGCTGCTGGCCAGGTCAGCCGGCCAGGGGGCCGCGAGTGCAGGCCTGTACCTGGTCAGGACCACCAGCCCCACCAGCTGCCTCTCGCACGCCTGGGTGAAGCCGGACTCGCCCGCGGAGAGGCGGAGGCCGGCCATGGACTCCAGGACCGTCTCGTTCCGCAGGACCTTGTAGCTGACGTCGGCGCGGAGCAGCAGCTGGCTCTCAAACCGCGACACGGAGACGGCGAAGCCGGGCCAGAGGGACAGCCTGAGGACACGGCGGACACGCGGGGGTCAGACCCGCCGCCTAGCCCGGCGGCCTCCCCACCAGCCCTCCCAGCTCCCGCCGCCGCCGTGACGCCGTCTCTCCTTCCCGCCGGAGGGGCGAGGCCCGCGCCAGGGCACAGCACCACCCTGGGCAGCGGCGCGGACGCGCTGGCGCTGTGGGCGGGACGGGCCTCCCCGGGGGCAGCATCCGGCCTCGCCCCCCCGCCCCCAGTGTCTGTGGGTCCTGCTCAGCGTCGCCCGGGCAGAGGCCCACAGCAGAGGGTCAGCACACGCCTGGCGGGACCTGCCGCGGCGGAGAACCCCGGGGTTCAGAAAAGCTCACGACTGCGGGCGTGGAAGGCGGACGGGCGCCCCTGCCCCCCAGGCTGCACGGGCCAAAGCCTCAAGCAGGAAGAACAGGAGGCGGCAGGAGAGACCTTTCCGGAGAGCAGCCCAGGGCACCCTCGGGCCGAGCGCGTGCGGGGGCCCCTCGGGCTCGGCGTGGCACTGCCCACTCACAGCCACCCCAGGACGCGGGGTGGGTGACGGGGACGGCGGGGCCTCACCCGGCCGCGTGACACACCTCCCCGCACGCTTCCCTCACCCCGACCTCCGCCTTCCTGAGACGGCGCAGACCAGGACGCAACACCCGGTTCTGCTTTCGGTCCCGCCTGCCCGGCGGAACGCGGGGCCCGGATTCCAGGACTCACGGCTGTGACCCGGCCGCGGCAGGAGCGCAGGCCCCCAGCGCCAGCCCACCGCCCCGCGAACACCCGGAGATCACACGGATCCACGTTTCCCGCCGCGGAAGCTCCGTGGGGGCACGAGACGGCAGCGCCGCGTCGCCCGCCACGGCCCGCGTCACGACACCGTCACCTACTTGTGCTGGGGAATGTCCACGGGCTCCGAGGGGTCGTAGAAGTTCCGTCCGATCTGGTACAGGGACAGCTTTTTCAAGATCCTGAAAATACATTGGAGAGTCTTCGGCGAACGTGTCCGCGGCCGGAGCCCCTCGGCCTGTGCGCGCCGAGCGTGACGAGGCCTGTCCAGAGCGCGGACTCCCCCGCACGGCCCGGACGGCAGGTCCCGCACCCAGCGAGGGAGGCGCGCTCGGCCGTCTGGCCGGGGCAGAGGCCGTGACGTCCTCCCACAGGCCCTGGCCAGCCCCCTCGGCGCTCTCCGGGGCTCCCTCAGGCCCCCGGCCTCGGGCCCCTCCGTGCAGGGTGGCCGTGTGCACCCAGCGGCGCCATCCTCAACCCACAGTGGGACCCGGGGCGCCAGGCTGTGGCCCTCACGTGCCCAGTGCGCCCCGGAAAACTGCTGCCCGCTCGGGTCTCCGGACCCCACTCCCGAGACTGCCCGGGGGCCCGGAGCGGCGCCTCCCGCCCACCGCCCGTACTTCCTGAAGATGACGCCGAGGACCTGCAGGCAGGCGGGCGAGTGCGCGGGCAGCGTCCCGGTCAGCGTGACCGTCATCTTCACGGTCTCGCCTCTCTGCGTGAGGCTGGTCAGCTCCGTGACCTGGGGACAAAGGGGGCGAGTAGCACGGGACGGCACCCCAGTGTGCCGGGGGGCTGGGCCGAGGCGCGCCTGTCGCTCCCCGCCCGGAGCCGGGCAGGCGGGGCAGGTCCAGGCGCGCGGACAGCGCTGACCCTCGGTGCCCCCGTCTGAGGGAACCGTCAGCCCAGAGTTGAAGACCCTGAGCCGCCCAGAGCGGCGGACTCTGCCCGGCTGCCGGGGCCGCGGGTTTCACGGCGTCCCTTCCCGACACTCGGAGGAGAGGCGCCAAGGCCGAGGGAGGGGAGCGGGGGAAACGTGGGGAGGCGGGCGGCGCGGCCGGGGCAGGAAGGGCTCGGGGCTGGACACCGGAGGAGCTGGGCCTCCCGGGGCGGGTCTTGGCGGAGGGAATTTCTCCTGCACGCGAAGCTGCACGGAGTCCCTCGGCGCGCTGCCGGCACCCCCTCAGACAGCAGGCGGGGTGCGGGGACGGCCAGGGCCCCACCCCATGGGGGGTGGTGTTCTTGGTCACGCCCTGTGCTCTGCCCAGGCTCCCCGCAGCACTGTTAACCCCCCACCCCTCCCACCGTGAAGTCGGGGCGTCGGAACAGCCGCCGGGTGACCCAGCTCCGGGAGCTCCCTCTCGAGGCCCCGGGGTCGCAGGACGGGCCTTGTCCTTAGCCGGGGTCTCCACTCCCCCCGCCGAGCCCACCCAGCTGGCGCCCCTGAAATGTGGCCCCGTGGGTGCTGCCAGCCCTTCTGGCCAGACTCCCGCGCCCTGTCTCCCTCCCCGACCAGTCCTTCCCAGAGGAGCAGCCCGTTGCCAGCCCCTGGACTGGAGGGCCGGGCCAGGGCAGCGGGCATCACTGGGCAAGACGAGTAAGCGCCCCCAGCCCCTCCGGCTGCCCGCCCTGCCTGAGCTGGGCGAAGCCAGACAGCGGCGGCGCGGGATAATTAACTTCACATCCCGGAGACATTTTTGCTCGTAACTGCGCCCTCGCTGTCCTGCCTCCCCCACGGCGGCCACCTGCGCGTCACTCCGGGACGGACCGTGTTGCGGGCAGACGACGGGCAAAGGAGTCAGAAGCGGGCATGGGCCGCGGCCAGAGGTCACGCTCTCGCAAGCTGCCCGGGACGGCCACTGGGACGCAGGCCGTGCAGGAAGCGGTGAGGACGCGGCAGCCCTCAGGCCGGCATGACCCGCCCCACCACAGGCAACACCGGGGGCCAAGAGAGGCCGTTCCTCCACGGTTCCCAGCACGGGCCCGGGCTGCGGGCTGCGGGCCAGCTTGCGCCTTCCAGCGCCAGGCCGTCGGCTGGACTGGAAAACGCTTGCTGCCAAGACCTTTGTCGGGGCGCCCCTGTGCTCGGGCCTGGGGACGGGAGGGCCCTGTCCACCCGCCGGGAGGTCCCGCGTGGGGACAGGGGCCCCCAGGAGATCAGCCTGCGCTACCTTGTCTTGGAGCTTCTGTGACAGGAAGAGGGTGGCCCCGTCGAAGGCCTTGGCCTTGCCCGAGAGCGCGCTGTGGCCGTAGAGCAGGGCGGTCCGCAGCCTGCGGGAGTCCAGGGCCGGGCTGTAGGCCACGTGGTACTGGTACAGCTGCCAGTCCTGCGGCAGGTCCAGGCTGAAGAGGTTGGTGGCCAGTCTCACGGGGATCCCACTGGACCCTGGGGGCGCCCACGTGTCGTCTTACAAACGCAAAGGAGAAGCACAGCACGCGGGTGGCGCCGCCCCTCGCACAGCAGACGCAGCCACCCCAGGCCAGCTCCCGTGGACTCGGGGCGACAGCCTCGGGGGCCCGCCGCAGAGAGAAGCGCCTCGTGAGCCGAGGGACACAGCCCCGCTCCTCCCAGGCCTCGGCCCCCGCGGGCCTTCTGGCTCAGCCTCTGGAGCGCAGCCTCCAAGGCGAGGACACTGTTCTCTCTGCCCAGAGTGCGGCCCCTGGGCTGTGGGCGGCATCGTCTCAGGATCCCGTGCCCGGCCGAGTCAGTCAGTCTGTGAGGCAGACTCAGGGGTGCCGGCCCTGCGCGGGAGGCCCGGGAGGCCGCCCAGGACCCTTGCCTCCCTGCAGAGCCCAGCGACTGTCTCCCGGGAGGGCGCCCCCCAGGGTCCTGCCCGGGGCGCTCTGCCCGGGGCAGCGGCAAACAAGAGGCTTCCTCCGCCCAGCGCGGCAGGGACAGGGAAAGCTTTCCCATGGTCCCAGGCCCCGAACAACGGCCTCCCCTTGAGGTGCCGGACGGGCTAGAGACTGCCGTGTCCGTGCGGGCGGGGCCCCGGGGCCCCAGCAGAGCTCTGGGCCTGGAGGAGGGACACGGTGAGGCGAGCAGGCTGTGGGGTGAGGGCAGGCAGCGGGCCCTGCCCTGCTCGGGAGGCCCCCCGGGGTGCCCCGCGGCACTCACGGGATGCTACAGCTGCTGCCTGCACCTGCGCGTCCTCACGGGGGACACCGGCCTGAGGATCGGCGAGGACACACCCGCTTCCGCACCCCCCGGCCTGGTGCCGGCTCGGGAGCAGCCTGGCCTCTAGACACAGGAACCTGGAAACAGGCCCCCTCGTCCCGCTGACCGCCGCCGCCCAGAGGGAGCAGCACCCCACGCGGGACCAGGGTGGGAGAGACGAGCATGTGTTTTGCCCCAGCCCGGGCACGGGAGAGCTGCTCCCCGTGTGACATCTTTTTGGAGATAGCCTCACACTGAAAGGAAGCCGCGGGCATGAAAACCCGGCTCCCAGATGACGCCGGGCGCAAGCAGCTGGCGCCGCCCAGTCTCTGCCTGCGTTCCAGGCCAGGCGAACCCTGGGGCGCGGGGGGCGCACCTCTCTTGCAGGCCCTCACGTGGGGCATCTTCTCCCGGGTACAGATGCCCGCGAGCTCGTCGGGGCTGGCGTTTCCACCTCTGTCCAGGGACGGACGTCCGGCCTCCCCCGGGCAAACGCCTCCTTCGGCTGCAGTGAACGGGAGAGCGATGACCACGCGCCGTCTGTTCCCAGACCCGCAGCCGGAATCCCGGCCCCCAAGGCCAGAGTGTGGGGTGACGCTCACCCCGGCTGGAGGGGGCGGGTGGGCATGCCCCGGGGGAGCGGGGGGCTCCCGCCCCTGCGCCCAAGAATCTGGGGAGCCGTCCCCAAGGGCGCTGGATGGCACCTGAGGGGCGAGGGTGCGGGAACCCGGGGGGCACAGACCTGCGTCGCCCACCCAGCCCGGCGGTGCGGGGACCAGCCCCCAGGGGCGGGAGGCAGAGGCAGCACTCACCCCGCGGGCTCGCTCCCCGAAGCCGCTGCCCGGCGGCGCCTCTCTGTCCCCCGGGGCCAGGGCGGTCGGCTTGAAATGGGCAGAAAGGTCGGATTTAAGATGTAAAGTCTTGACCCAGAAGGGCGAGAAAGGGGGCGCAGCACCCCGGGCTCCCTGAGCCGGACGCCCCCGGGGCCAGGCTCCTCCCCAGACAGGCCCGCAGGGTCCGGTGGCTTCTGCGCTTTCCCGAGGTTTCCCCTCGGCGGGGGGCAGGGGAAGGCGTGGGGGGACCAGGCGGCAGGAGCCCTCGGGCCGCTTGGGGCTCCCTCCAGGGGGCGCCCTGCGGGCCTGAGGGCTTGCGGAAACGCGGGGGCCACCCCCCCCACTCCGGTCCGAGCTTCAAGCCACCCGCGCTCCGTCTCCCACCCCGCGGGGAGGCCGCGTCCCAGCCCAGGCCCCGGGCGGGCTCACCTCGCAGGAGGGCGCTGTGCCCCCCGACGGCGTGGCCCCGGGGCGCCCCACCTCCGCCTCCCCGGCGTCCGCACTGCGCCCCAGCCTCGCGCCCGCGCGCGGGCCCGTCCGCTCATGGCTCCCGGGCAGCCTCCAGCGCAGCCGGGCGTTGTCCGAGGGGTGCGGGGGGCGCCCTGAGCGGGAGAGGCCCCCAGGGGCGCGCTGGAGGGGGCGGGGCGCGTGGGGGCGGGGGGCGGGGCGCCCCGAGGGGGCACGTGGGCGGCAAGGAAGGGGTGCGTGGGCGGAGGGGGTGCTGGGCGGCGGGAGTGTGGGGGTGAGGCGGGCACCGGGCCGCCCCCTCGACGTAGCCCCTGGTCTTCCGCTCCTGCGCGGGCGAGGCGGCAGCGCCCCCCCACCCCCGGCCCCCATCCCCGCCCCCCACCCCCCGCCCCCACCCCGCCCCCGCCTCCCACGCTCCCCCACCCCCCAGCCCCTCCTCTCCCCCACCCCTCCCCGCCCCTCCCCACCCCCCTCCCCACCCCACCCCACCCCCACCCCTCCTCACCCCCACCCCTCCACCCCCCCTCCCCACCCCCCACCCCCCCACCTCCCCACCTCCCATTTGCGAGCGCAGGGGGCGGGACCGTGAGCTGCACCCGAGGGCGTCACCGCGGGGTGCTCCTGTCTTCCTCTGCGGTTTAAGGGCGCGTCTGTTTCTAGGTCGGGGTACCCCGGCGCGTCAGTTCCCGGTGTGACGTCCGCCCGCCCGCCCCCCGCTGTCCGTGTTCTGCGGTTCGCGCGTCTGGGTCTCGCCGGGAGAACCTCCCTGCCCGAGTGGACCAGGCGGTCCCGGGGCGCTGCTTCTGTTAGGGGGAGCAGGATGTCCCCAGCTGATCCCGCACGGGCTTCGTGGACGCCACCCCCGCCCCAGGCCAAAGCCGAAGACACCGGGAACCCCACATCCCGTCCCACCAAGGGAAGGGGGCTGGGGCCTGAGGGTGGGGTGCAGCAGCCAGGTGGGGATAAAGCCAGACACGTGGGCTTTGGGGGGGGGTCCCCCATGTTGGCTCCCCGCCAGCTCGCAGCGTCCGGCCAGCTCGGAGAGCGACTTTGGGTTTCCAGGTCGCGGATCGGGTGGGACGCATGAAAGACTTGATTTCCCTGTTTCCTCCCTGAGCTGCGCATTTTCCTCATTTCCTTTCCCTTGGAAACAACCTTGCATGAGCCCGCCGTGTCCTGCCTGGGGTGTTCATCCTCTGTCCCTTGTGAGCGCGGGTGAGGACCCCCAGCCAGGAGCGCGTTCAATACCGGGGCTGCCCTGTCCCCCCCCCAGGCGCTGCTGACCGCGCGCGGGCGTCGGGCGGGCGTGGACGGCGAGGCCGGTGGGCGCGGCCCGCGGCGGGCGCGGCGCCTGGACGGCGTCGGCTGGGAAGGGCCGGGCCGCCGCTGCGCCACCGCCGTGGGGGGCCCCGGCCGCCCGAGCGCGCGGAGGGGCGGGGCGCGCAGGGCTGTGCGCAGGGTGCGGGTGCAGGGCGCCGCGGCCGTGGCTGGGGGGCCTGACCCGGTCTGCTGCGCCGGGCGCGGCGGGGGTCACAGCCCGCGCGGGTGGGGGCGGGCGGCGTGGCCAGCCCTCGCCCTCGGAGGCCACCGCGGGGTGCGCTCTGCGGCCTCACCCGCGCCCGGGGGGCACTGGGGCGGCTGGGGCAGCGCCCCGGCCCTCCCGCCTCTGCACTGCCCGCGCCGTCGCCCCCAGAGGCTCCGCCCGCAGCAGCCCTGACCCCGGGTGTGGCGCGGCCCAGGCCGCAGAGCCCAGTGAGGGGATGAAGTCCCCCGCGTTCCACGTCTGCTTTCACCCGCGAGGGAAGGCGCAGGGAGACTCCTAAGTCGCCCCGCGAGTCGGCTGAGAAGTCTTTTCCCGCTTAGTCAGTCCTGGGGCGACGATTTTTTTTTTAAGATTTATTTATGCACACAAGAGCCGGGGTGCAGGCCAGAGGTGGGGGGGTGAGAGGACTCCCCAGAGACGGAGTGGGGAGCAGAACAGGCAGAGCCACTGACACCCACTGCTGAGGGAGCAGCGGGAGACAGGAGGGGTCTGCCGCGCCGTGTGGGTAGCTCCCTGGCCGGGGATGGATCTCTCGCTGCAGAGGCTGCCGACAGCCTCACAGCGCGGCGTCTGAGCCCCCCGTGCTGCCAGGGAGCCCCTGCCGACGACTTAAATGACGTCACGCAGACCCTGGGTGACACGCGGGAGGCGCAGACACGCGGGGAGCGGCCCCTGCGGGGCCAGGCCGGCTCCCGCGCGCACCGGGGGCGCACGGAGGCCGCGAGCTGCTGGCTGGGCCGCACCGCCTCGGGTCTTGCGGATTGAGGCTGGACAGGCTCCCTTTTCAGCCTTGGTTTTGGGGCGCCCCCCCTTCCAGAAATGTGAGGACAGCGGCTGTCCCCGCGTACTCGGGCGCCAGGGGGCGCTGGTCTGACGGAGCACGGGGGCCCAGCCGGCGCCCCCAGAAGCTCTCACCTGCCTCGCTTCTCCCCCGCCTCCCCGGGCCCTGTGCCACCCCGGGGCGCGCGGCTTCTCCCTGCTGCCCAGCGACCGCCCTTTCCCGGCCCCTCACTTTCCAGATCCGCAAGTAAGTGAGCGCGGATGCGCGCGTGTGCAGACCAGTGTGCAGACGTGGGCGCGTGTGCAGACAGTGTGCAGACGTGTGTGCAGACGGGCGCGCGTGCAGACGGGGGCGGGCGTGCGGGGGGCGCGCTCAGCGCAGGTGGGAGGCGCCGTCGGGACGTGCCGTTTGCTGCGGGAACGCGCAGCGCCCCCCTCCCCAACGCGCCCCGGGGCCTGGCCGGCTCCTCCCGCGCTCGCCCCGCGCCGTCCGCGCGTCCTGCCCCCGGGGATGTGTCGTCCGCGGGCCCCGCAGCCCCAGCGGCCACCAGCTCCTGCCGCCCGGCTCGGGCGCGCTGCAGGCCGAGGGAGGACGCGCTGGACACTGGCCCGAGCCCCGGGCGCGGCCGCCCAGCATGGGGGTGAGTGGCGCGGACACGCCAGGAGATGAGCCGTCCAAGCCCCCGCTTCGCGGCTCGCAGAAGGGGCCGGACGGGCTCTGTGCGGGTCAGCGCGGGCCGGCCAGGCCGCCCCGTGGGCGCCCCCTGCGCGCCGTGCGCTGCCCCGCCGTGCGCGTCGTAGCTCGTTGTCCGGCACCTCCGCGGGCGCCGCGCAGCCACCGCCGCGTGGAGAGATGCCCGCGCGGAGAGCTGCCCGCGCGGAGAGCTGCGTCAGCCGCCCCGCAGGACAGGGAGGCCGCCGGCCTCTCACATCCTTCAACTCCTGGTCTTGGCGGCCTCTCTGAGGGTCTGGAGCGGAGTGGACAGGCTGCCCCGGGGCCAGACGCGGCTCCCCACGGGCCCCTCCTGCAGGCCTGCAGCGCGCCCTCTCTGACCGGTGCGGGCGCAGCCCCAGCCGCTGCGGAGCCGGGTGTCTGCGGCCGGACTCTGGCGGACAAGGCGGGAGCGCGGGCAGCGTCAGGCCGCCCGGCCTGCGTCCTGCTTTGTGGGGCTCCTGCTGACTCGGGGGTACGTCTTGCCCCGAGGGCTCAGCCACCCACGCCAGGTGAAGCCACCTGTCCCCGCAGAATTCTTGACCTGGGGAGCTTCACCCCGAAGACCCCACGGGCAAGGCCCCCTGTCTTCCTGATGCGACATCCCTGCAGGTGCCGGCAGGTAGCTAAGTCATCCGCACTGGCCACAGCCAGCCTGTAGCCACGTGACGTGACGGGGAAGCTTGTGCCTCAAAGGGAGGGAATGACAATGACAGGGAACATTTTGAAACCAATACAAGGCATTTAAATGCACCTTTATATTAATACATGTGACCTTTTAATCTGCTCAGTTTGGAATATAAAATGACACCTGTCACCTTTCTCTGGGTCTTTGATGAGATCAGCCTAAGAAAATATTGTTTGTTCTGGTCCCCAAATATGCCCGTAAATAAAAACGCAACCCCTTCTCGTGCTGACTGTTCCATAAATACGTGGCAAGTTTCTAATCAATTTAAGACCAAGACCAGCATTTGTAAGACGCTAGAAACCTGTTAAATACGTAACTAAAGAAAAAAAGGTGCAGCTCCCCTGTCACCCAGAGAGTCAAGCTCAGTCTAAGTGAAGTCACGGGGTCAGCTTTGGGGCTGTCAGCTGTGCTCTGCCACGGCTCCTGGGGGTTGCTGGGGGGCCTTGTGCCATGGCTGCAGGGGAGGGGGAGCCTGGAGGTTTCTCCCGCCCCGCCCCCCCCACCCGAGAGCTGGACCGCAGCTTCGCTCCCCCTGAAAGGCTCTGCTCTTCCGGGCAGAGGAGGAAGCCGAGGCTCAGGTCCCACTTGGCCCCTGGGGCCGCAGGTGCTCAGATCCAACCCGCTCCCTGCAGACCCCCAGGCCCTCCCGTTCCGCCCACGCAGGCTCCAGATAACCCCAGGCCCGCCCAGATCTCAGGCTAGTTTTAAGACGAGAGGGCCCCTCTTCCTTACTCGGTTGCTGCTGCGTAATGCTGCCCCACTACAGTATTTTACTGAGGACACTTTGTCCAAGGGTCTGAATTTCTCTTTTGAAGGAAAAGAGAGACTTGAAGAGGCCGGGTCTTCGCCTGTCCAGCGGGTCTGCAACAGGCGCAGGTGAAACTCGCCGATGAGCAGCCAGTTGTACTAACCAAGTGCAAAATGGCTGTGAGCAGTACCTGCATAAACCCAGTTCCCTGTGAGCCCCGCGCCACCCTGAGCCCCGCTACAGAAATCCACTGCTGCAGGTCCTTCCGGCGGAGGAGGAAGAGACCGTTTTTTCAGGCTGTAAGTCCGCTGGTCTTTGTCACTACACTCTTAAACAAATAGGGTGTACCCATGAATTAGTCCAAGCGCAGTGTTTCCTTTTGAAGGGTGGGGGGCTGAGGAGCCCTTGAAGGGCCTCCTGAGCGCCCCCCACAGCACAGCCCAGGCCCAGCAGCAGGCACAGGGCATGGACCAAGCGCTGCTGGCCACACCTCCCAGAGTCAGTGCACGTTTTCAAAGTCCAGGGGCGCCGTGTGGGCGCCGTGTGGGGGCTTGCAGGTGGGCAGACACGCCTGTCACCCGCAGGCAGGGCGGGAGGCGCCCCGCTGGTCTCTGGAGGATGTGGCCACGAGCAAAGTCCAAAGTTTATGCCTCGTCCTCACGGGGCTCCGAGACAGGAAACAGGAGCTAAGAGCCGACTGGTCCACACAAAACTGCCAGGAGCACACACGGGGGGTGTAGCTGGGGGGTGAATTTTTTTAATGAACCAGGTCCCAGGAGCAGCAGACACAGCCTGGATCTACTTGTGGACCGTGACCTGCAGCTTCCCCGTCTTCTGCAAACACGTCTCTGTGATTGTAATTTAGCAAAATGCAGGTTATGGAAAAACACAGGCGCAG